TTTATTGTGTTCAGCCACTGGGCAAACATGGAGCCAAAGCCAAAACAATACTCTTCATTTTCCCCTGAATCCTGAAACAGCAATTAACTGAGACTAAGCAGTCAAAAAATGAAGGTAGTACATGGATTTACACACTTAATGCATTTTACAATTGTTGAAGAGTTGACTTCCTTCACTGTTTTCTTGGACAGAAGGAATTTAATCTCACAGACTTCCTGTTTCCTTTGTTAGTTAGGGAAGTACTAAATGATGGCTCAGGTACTGTTTTTAAGCATAACTGTTTTTCACATAGACAAAATACTATCCCAGTTACAGTACTGTAGCATTGTACTCTGATGAAGAGTCCTAAGAGATGTGACTTGTATATCAATTAAGCATTATTATAAATAATATAGATTGCATTCATTTGAAATGCATTTTAAACAAAGTTCTAAATAAACTTAATCCACTCAGTAGTTTCATGATCTGTTTTACATTATTTTACAATATGTAACATTACATTATTTTTAACTACCTGAGTCATGGAAAAGTTTTAAAATTTCCTCTTCAGTATGTTCTCCCCAGTGTTTTGAAGTGATCTAAGACTCTGCTCTGCTAGAAGGATTGCCTCACAGTTTTCTTGTAGTCTTGTCAGTGTTCCTGATCACGCTGGTACAAGGAGAGAGAGGAAACATGGAGTTGTGCAGTCAGTGCAGGAAGAAGCAGTCCCTTTGAGATAGAAAAGAGGAATTGCATCTAGCAGACTGTGGAATAGCATCCTTAGGCTGTCTCTTCTGTCGAGGGCATGTGTAGCATTGGACAGTAAAAGCGACTTTCGTTCAGTGAAAGTACTCTTAGTCTAGGAAAGGATACAGCTCTGAAAAAATGTTCTCTGAAGAAACATGAAGTGTGGTTATCAGTAATTGCCTCACACCTTGTGCCTGAGTGTTTTCTTTTCAGCCTGTGCTGTATCAGTGTGCCTTGGACTGCAGTCCAAGCTGGTTGTGCTCAGGTGTGTGGTATCTCACGTGCTCTCAGAGCTCTCACCGTGTTCAAAATGGATCAGCCAGTCCTATGGCTCATGTTTAGTGCCATCTCCACCATATGGTATTTATGATATATATGGTATATTATATATGGTATTGTAACAACTAGGTCACTGGAGACTTTGCTAACTCCTCTTGCTTGTTTCAGTTGTTTGAGTGCCCACATCCATCCTCAAAGAAATCAGTTCAAAATAAAGCTTGCACCACCATCACAGTACAAAGAGATAAGGTCCTTTTGTTGGCAACCTGATAAAGACCAGGAGACATTGTAGCTGTATCAGGAAAGAAATACTGGCCAAAATTAAATGAAGGTCACTTGAATGTCAATAACGTAAGTTAGATCTTTGAGTGCAGAGTCATTATTACGACAAATACATGTATTTGAGTTTTTTCATGTTCATAGTTTCAGTGTCAAAATGTAAGCAAAAAGTTCAGTGCATATATATGAAGAATATTTTTGCATACACAGGTGAGTGACAATGCAGAGTACAGTTGCTTGGATAACTTCAGTGGCTGAATGGGGCTTGCTTTACATGTGGAAGTACAATTCTTCTTCAGAAATGGCAAGAGTAAACTACTCCTACTTCACCCTGGAAAGAAAGCTGAAGGTTGTGTTAGGTACCGAAGGCAGGTGGAAAGCTGTTGCAGTTTCAGACAAAGCCAGTGTTATTTGGGTTTTAGATGTCTTCCAGTAAATTGAACACACAGCTAACTACCATTTTTGTGCCCTTCTCTACCAATGCTTTTCAGACAGACACTTTTGCTCTTTTCCAGCTGAGCTGTTTCACTGAATTGGTTCGCTCACCAAACCTTTATCTGAGGCACAGTTTGGAATAGTACCTGATCTATCCATGGCAGCAGGAGGTGTTCTGTCAAAATGTGTAATAGGCAGGGAAGGAATGGAAAAGCACATACTTGTATATGGTGGAGACATTTTTGACCTACTTTTTATTTACCAAACATTTCACAGCTTGTTTTCTTTTAATTTGAATGTTTTGTCTTGGAAAATGGAGAACATAAAGGGAGCAAAAGCAGAAAGATTTCAAGATCACATTTTTCCAAATATAGATCTTTGTATTTTAATTCCAAATAGCCTGTAATTTCAAAAATCCATTATACTAAAACCCTATTAATACTCAGTTGAAATGAAAAGCTTACAGGGCAGAGGTTAAATAAACTCTTTTGTTTATTTCATGACTGATATATTTTAATTGGTTTGACTGTTTAGAGGGCAAGAGAAAAACAAAAAGAACTCTAAAATATTTGCACAGCTTTACAGAAAATAAAATAGCAATAAGACCAAAAAAATTCTTGTTAGTCCACTTTAGTACTGCTGGATAAACTACTCAACCTTGCCTTTGCAGTAGGGAAAATGTACTTTATAAATTAAAAAAATATGACTGAAATACCACAAAAGGTTTTTTTCTGATCTCTTGTTTTAAAGCAGAGTTAAAATTATGCATCATTCCTGAAAATAATATTTGTCAGATCTTCTAAAAGCTTCCTGTGATGGAGACTGACAGCCTTGCCAGTCCTTAATTAACCTCTAAGAGAAAATGTTCACGTTTTGACTGACTTTTTTTTTCTTTTTTTTTTTTTTTTTCCCCTGCAATTCAAGCCCATTAGTTCTTGCCCTATCACACAGTGAACAAACTGTTCCCTACTTCTTGGTGATAGCCTTGTAAAAACTGTTATTATCCCCACTCTCAATTTTGTCTCATTTAGCCTGATCAGTTGCAGTTCTCTGAGTCTTTCTTCACAGGTCAAGTTTTCTAGATCTCTGATCTATTTTCCTTCTCAGGGCTTTTTCAGACAGTTCATTTCTTTCTTTGAAATCTGATGCCCAAAAATGGATGCAGTATTCCAGCTAGAGCTTTTCCACTGCCAGAGTTGAAGGATTACTTCCTGCACTTTGCAGGCTGCTCTCCCATACATGTCACAGAATGGTGATTGCTTTTTTTTGCAGTAGCACAACTGTGGCTCTCACTCAGCTTATGATCTGCTCTGTCTTCCAGACTGTCATTTGGTGCTCCCCGTCCTGAACAGCTGATTATTTCTGCCTGAGCCTAGTCCCTTCTGCTTTTCTGTACAGCATTTCAAACTTCTTCTCTAAGCAATGCTCCAGTTTCTGAAAGTTATTTTAAGTTCTGGCAATGCCTTCCTGTTGCACATTTGCAGACTTGGCTAATGTGGTTTCTGTTCTATTGTCTGAATTCTTAATGAAAATACTGCATTCCATAATGGACCTCCAGTCAGCAGGTCGTTCCAGTTGCTCAAAGACTCATTAGGAGCCACTCTCTGGTTATGGTACTTCAAACAGTTCTCACTCACTTTTTAGTACTTTAATCTGAAGCTTGTTTCCTAAATTTGCTTATAAAATTATTATGGGAAATGTTATCAAAAATCTTTTTTGAAATCACAATATGTGTGAATCAGTTGTTTTTCTCTGTCGTGGATCCTTTTATCCTTACAAGTGAAGTAGACTGACTTGTGATATATTCTTGATGACTTTGTGTTATTACTCATTTGCTTATCTTTCAGTGGTTTTAAATTCTTTATTTGTTCCACTTGTTCAGTGCACTGAACCTGAACTTTCTGGTCTATAATAAAAGACATATCTACTATCTGTCTGACATACTCTCTTTGAGAACTTCTCAGTGACAATGAGTAATAGTTCTGAGGTCACTTCAGCCCTTTCTTGGCTGTCCCAGGATAAAGTTTATAATACTCACTTGATTGGAAAACTTACATATTTTTTAAATATTTCCTGGTTTGTTTCCCTGTTTTAGACAAAGATTTTACTTCTTTGCAACTGTATTAGCCACATGCTCTCAGATGATTCTTCTAATAAAATGTGCAAAAATTTATTAAGCATCTTAGCTTTCCTAGTCTTTTGTCATAGAGTCATAGAAGCATTTAGGCTGAAAAAGGCTTCTAAGGGCAGCAATTCCAACCATTAACTCAGCACTGCAAGTCCACCACCAAACCATGTCCCTCAGCACTACATCAACACATCTGGCAGAACCATTACTTTTCTGCTGAGTTTGGACCCTTTCATTCCATAGCCATGACAGAACAGCCATACTGCAAAACTCCCAGTACTGCAGAAGTGCGTCAGGCTCTTTCAGCTCTGCTGTTCTCAGCAGCAATAATGCTACAAACCTACTCCCCACTTCTTTGACATGTTCCTTACGTGACCAAGTGTCTTGTTCAGTGTCCAGGACTGTGGTCAGCAGAGCAGACACATCATGACCTTCAAAAGCCAGGAGATGTGGTGGTCTGGCTTCCCTATAGAGAACATGTGAAGAGCAGTCATGGTCACAGCTGCAGCAGCTGCTCTGCTGCACTGTCCAGCAAGGGCTGAAAAGGCTTGGCCAAGTTCCTGAGCTGCCTGTGTATCAAATTCAGCCCCAAATTGCAGCGTTTGCAGTCATGGTGGCAGTGCTGGCAGACTCACATCAGGTGATTGGGAAGAGAGGGAACATGAAGTAGTTCAAAGTCGGTAGAGAAAGTTGTGTTTTAAAGATGGGTTATTTTGTGCACAGGGAGACAAAGCATTATTTCCAGAGTCTGATAGTAGGTTGTGAAATACCATCCATGTTAGTCTCGCACCAGAGTTTAATTCTCAGCTATTTAAATAAATCTCTTGGGCATGGAAGTGAAGGGATGAGGTACATGGAAAGGAAATGAGAATGTTATCTCCACTTTACTCTCTAATTCTCATTTAAGAGTGGCTGGAGCTTTTCTGTATAAGGATATCTCTCAGTATTTCCTGTCAGTGGAAAGTGCTGTGTGAAGAACAGTGTAAGTAAGAACTGAGAAACTGCTATGGGAAAACTATTATAAATACTAGCAAAGTGCTAATTTCAAAAACAAAATACAGATTTCATTTTGTAGTATGACAATATTTAATTCTGAAGTTCTCTTGAAAAAGTACCTAAAATAACTTTGATACCTTTTTTTAATCTCTTGCAGCTCCCAGACAGCTGTATAATGGACTACTATGAAAAGTACAAGCACAGAATGAATGAGCTTGAAGCATTTAATATGGTAAAAGTTATGGGAATAATACTACTACCTTGTGTACATGTGCTAGTCTAGAACAAAGCCCTGTTAAGTTTTATGTGGAGGTGGACTGTCTTACACTGTGGTATGCAATCTCAGGAAACAAAGCAGTTCCCCCTTCCACACTTTGGAGCATATCCTATTCCAGAACTATATTAGGTGTAAGTAAAGTAATAAAGTGAACAACACATGGAAGATTCTTTCTCAAGAGGGACTGTTGCACTGGAAAATGGAATGTCAGTCTCCTTTTAAATCTAGACTTGTCTCCACGCAGTTATTTCATAAAAACTCTTTTTATTAAAATTGATTATTTCCCTCTTTAAAATTGTTCTGCTACATTTAATATTATTTTCTTGTTGGACAATGTCTGAAAACCAACTAAACAACGTAGTTCCGTGACTTTATGGCATTCCATGTATTTTTGATTTTAATATAATCTGTTTTGAAGATGTCCATCCCATAGGGAAAATTAGCAAGGTGACATTTGTACAACAGAACCCCTAAAATGTGGTTGACCTTCCTGGAATTGTTCTGAGGAAATGTAGCCATGTGGAAGTGTATTGCTTGTCTTTCCCAAAAGGATTCTAGCATCTAATCTTTCTTTCAGTTGAAGGTTGTTCTGGCTCCTTGCATAGAAGTTTTAATACTTCTGGATCGTCTTTGCTACCTAAAGGAGCAGGTATTTTTGCATTCTCTTTCATGATACCTAAAGGCTACATCACTGAAATGAGGCTATTTTAGTCAATTTATTACTGTGCAGATGAAAAGTCTCTGTTGCAGAATTATTATTCTCATCATATTTGCACAAGTATAAGCATTCATTCCATTTAGTATAAACATATGCCCAGCAGATGTTTTTATTTTCAACAAAGCAGCAACAGTAAAGTTTATGCTCTTTTAATTGTATTGTAATTACTAGTCAATAGATAGTAAAAAATAAATTAATCAAAGGTGCAGCAAATCTCAATTTATACAACATAATGAGATATTTAATAATTAAAAAATTTAGGAAATGATAAACAAATATTGTGCTGTTAATACTTGAACTTCCAATTAATGTGCTTTGGAACATATAATTCAAAAATGTTTGAATTCAATCCAAAACGTTTATGACTTTCTTTTACTGTTTCTTAATTAAGATCAGTTAATAATGAGAGAGGATCAACCTTTCCTAACTGTATGGGTCAGCTGAGGTACATTTGACTAACATGCAGCCTGCATATATTTTACAAGTATAGATCTGGGACATAATAAACAAATGCTGCTGCATTTACTCCATGATGACTTCTTCCATTATTGCTTTTTCTTCTAACACTGATTTTGAGCTTGGCCTGGTTAGCTTGAAAGCAGTGGCAATACTTTTTCTGTGCCAATAAACATTTTTCACACAAGTAATAATTTCCTAGGAGGAAATGGTAGCATCTTCCAGCTTCTGCTCTGGGCCATGGTCAAAATAAAATTTTAAAATAAAGTTTAAACCCATTCATATGAATAGCTGTGTTTTTCCACTATAAACCTTTCAATTTTAACGGCTCCATTTTATCATAAGTGAAAACTCACTTTATTCTCTGTCATGGTGCACTTGGAACAACTGCTTTGTACTAAATGTATGCCTTTGTTCTAACTGGTATTTTTACAGAGAAGCAATTTGAAATAGTTAAATAATGATGTATTTTCCCAAGTGCCAACCAGTTAAAAATTGCATAGAAATCTGTATGATTTCCAAGATGGGAGATCAAACTTGCTGCATATAATACTAATTCACCTTTTCTAAATGTAATACATGCATGGATTTAATCTTATACTGATTGATTCACAAAATGTATTTAGGAAGAAAAATAAAAATTATAAAAGCCAAATGCAGGGTGATGACCAGATCCAGCTGGCCTGATTCATTTGAAAAGTCAGTTAATTAGCTCAGTAGTAGAATGTGCAAGATAAAACGAATATGACATGATCCTTAATTTCTTTGTTCTAGTTCAACCTAAAAACGAAGCTTTATTGATGAAGCAGGAGAGAAGCTATCACTTGATAGCACCAGAAATAATTAAATTACTTTAAAATACATCCTGTTATGGATGCCCATTTTTTCACAACAGACTTTCCCCCGATTTTCTTATTAGATAAGTAGTTTTTCTGCTTTGTATTAGGATAGTTCTATTTATTTTCAATTTTGTATTTCAAAATATATATTACCATATTTTAGCTTGTAAGTCAAACACATTTTTATGCATTTCAATCATATATCATTTTCAGGAAAACATTGCCTGGTCTGGACTTGTGAAGTTATTTGATCCTGTGAAGTCCCCCAGATGCTATGCAGTTATTGCTCTGAAGAACCAGTCATGTTCTTAAGTGGAAGCAAATTGCAGAGAGGTTGGAAATTCTGAACTGATAGTGCTTTTTCCTCCATTTTATTCTGTTATTTTTAACTGATTCCTCAAGTACAGTGTTTGTTTTTTGATGCAAAAGAAAAAAGTGCAATGTCTCTTTGAATCTCCAGAAATAAATATCTCTTTTACAAATATGATTGATTCCTTATGTCTGTTATTAATGTCGAACATTGACTTTATTATAAATGTTATGACCCATACTCTGTGATTATTATTTAAAATAACAATTATGTTTCTTCTTTTTAAGGTTTTATGCTTGTGTATCCTTTCTCTTGATACTTCTAATCCCATAATAAGCTAAATTTTACCAGTGGCTGGTATCAGCAGTCTCAGACTAGGCTCACTTTTTTCTTTTCTGGATTCAGATGGTGAGGAGTATAAACAGAAAAATAACCTGCACTGTAAACAAGAGGCTCATAGACTAAGTAGAATCTTTTTAATTCCCCTTCTTCAGGTCATCAGGACCAGTTTATTTATACAGCAGCAACTACCTGCAAAGGACAGTTTTGTATCAACCTCTTCTTCCTTCAGGCATTTTCCTGGCATGCACTTGTTTTCCTGTCACTCTGAATGAAAAATATGTGTGCTCTAATCCAGTGGGAGATTTCCCAGTGCTTAAGAATCAGCTGCCCTGCTGGGGTTCACTCTGTAATCCTTGGGTTGTATTGGAAAGCTATTATCTGGCCCAAATCTGTTTGGTATAAATACTTCAGTACTCAAATGAATTGAAACTTCCTAGGCAGTTTCTTGTTAGCAGTGCTGCATTCATGAGTGGGAAATTTATTTGTTGATGCATTTATCTCAATGGGTTGCCTAATTAAACTTGCAGATTTTCCATTAATTAAAAAAAGAGAAAAGTTTATTTTCTAAGTCCTAGTGCTTAAAAGAAGTGCTTAAAAGTGCTTTAAAGAAGAAAAAGAAGAGAAAGTAAAAGTAAAAGGAGAATACACATGGAAGATGAGAATAACAAAAACATTTTTTATATTAATTGCATGATGACAGTAATTAGGCTGAGACTGAGATGTGAGTAGGAGTGGATCTTACTCTTGTTGCACTTTGCAAAATATAATGAGAGCTTGTGAACATGGCCACTCCAGAGAAGTAAGGTATTTTTCTAACAAGTCACATCTTTCTTGATGTATTCACTTGAAAGAAATACTTTGGTTTTACGTCTATCTAAACTCACTGCTGTCTCAGAACTCTGGTCCTTATTAATTCCATGATTCCAGTGTTAGTGTCTGATATTTGTTTGGTCCTTAGAGCTGCTGAACATCTTCAGTGCCCAAGGAAATTAACAGAAGTTGCAGGTCTGGAGCAGTAGAGCTAAGAGAAAAATGAGGTCTTCCATAAATGCCACCTTTTGTTATACAGAGAATACTGAGGAAACCAATAAGCCACTGAATTTTTTTCCCAGGAGAGGAATCAAAAGAAAGAAAATACTTTCCTAACCTTTAAGCATCTGGAAGGAAAAAAACCATAATATCCGATATAAAAAGGCAATCTAAAGTACATGAAGCTAGAAAAAAGGTGAGCAAAATTCCTAGAAAAATGGGTTTTATTATATTATGTTCTATTTTATTATATTATGTTCATGCTAAGACATCATGACTAATTGTCACTGAAGTGTTAAGGTGTTGTCATCCCTATCTGATGTGCTGTTGAAAAAATGTACTTGGGGAAGAAATTGCCTTTTTTTCTGTTATGAATAGGTTCTTCTACTTTTACAGACCAAATTCTAAAAACTGGGCATATATGATGTTTAAACAAAGAAAGCACAGTTTCCCACTGAAAATGTAAGGGCTTAAAAGTACCTTTTTATGGTCCAAAAATACTCATTTGAGCAAGCCCTGTCTGGTTTAATCTGAACACGGTCAAAATTGCAAAGGGTATACAGACCAGTGTTAATTTTATGTGATATGTCTGTAATGCTAGATAAATTCAAAGTTAAATTTTTATTACCATCTTAAGAGAACATTTGCAACAGTTTAGGAAAACAAGCACATCTCTAGGATTAGCACAAGTGCTTGTCTACTGCTTTAAAAAGGTCTGAATAAATTTGCATACCCTCCCCCAGCAACATCTCAGGCTCTTTCAGAACTTTTCATGCACTTTGTAGTCTATGCAGGCAAAAACAGAGGCAATGTGCTTCTTAGAATAATAACTATCAAGAGATTTATATGATGAGTTTGGATTCAAGTGAAGTCAGTTGCTGTCTGCTCTCAAAGCTGTTTCAAAGCTTTGGGTGCCTGAATACCTATGTGTTATTGCTTACACAATGGAAAAATCCCTGACAGTAATCAAGATGAATAAAACCACTTTTCCTCATGGTTATTGCCAGAAGTTCTCCCATAAAGTAAACTGTATCCTAAACATGATGAAGTCTTTTGATAGGAAAGAATCTCCATTTTCTTTCAGTATGACAGACCATTATCTATCTTGCTGGTCTCCCTAAGGAACAGAGGATATACCTTCTTTCCATCAGGTGTTTGCCTGATTCTATTTGTGGCAAAACTATGCATTCTCTAACAGATTCAGAGTGCTTATGTATCTTTCTTAGGGTTGAAACCCGTTCTTAGCTGGAGGAATAAGGGTATATGCAGGGTATGTGGGAAAACTTAGTATTAAAGAGATCAGTGTAGCCTAAAATCTCCAAGCCTGCTTTTGTGACAAACTTTAATTCTGCAGGTCGAGTGGGGTTCCTCAGGGGTTGGTATTGGGGCTGGTGCTGTTTAATATCCTTGTTGGAGACATGGGCAGTGGGATGGAGTGCATCTCAGCAAGTTTGCAGGTGACACCAGGCTGTGTGGTGAGGTCAGTGTGCTGGAGGGAAGGGATCTTGCCAGGCTTGAGAGATGGGCCCGTAAGAACCTCATGAAGTTCAACAAAGCCAAGTGGAAGGCCCTGTATCTGATCTGGAGCAATCCCAAGCACAAACACAGGCTGGGCAGAGAATGGATTGAGATGAGCCCTGGGGAAAAGGACAAGGGGAATGGTCTCAAGCTGAAGCAGGGTAGGTTTAGATTAGGTGTTAGGAAAAAATGGTGAAGCACTGGAACAGGTTGCCAGAAAGGTTATGAACTCCTCATGCCAGGGAGGGTTCAAGCCCAAGATGGATAGGGCTGTAAGACCTGGTCTAGTAGAGGGTGTCCCTGCCTATGGCAGGGGAGTTGGAACTAGATAATATTCAAGGTCTCTTTCAAACCACACCATTCTACGATTCTGATTCCAGGTCTGATTCCTTACTTGTAACATCACACCAAAAAAAAAAAAAAAATTGTGCTGTTTTAGTTTCAAATGTTTCTTATTAAATATTAGGTATATTTTATGGGAAATTATCTTCTCCATTGACATTATTCATTACTGTTAAAGTGCTTAGTATCTTCTCACAGTTAGCATGCTTTTGCTATGTCTTGATGGACTTAAAATCTTGAGAGTCTGTGTTCTGTGATGGCATAAAATCTGCACAGGGGAAGCATGCTAAATGTATTTGGCTTTGTGGCAGCAATATGTCTTTTAAATTACTGGAGTACTTATTGGCTTATATTTACTTTTTTTCCTAGAGACTATCCTAAGTTGTCATTATACTGGCAGATATCACTGGTACTAAGGGCAAGTGGTAAAACAGGACAAGCACCAAGAAAGTCCTCCCTGCTTATGTGTGAATTAGCCAACTTGGTGTGGTGCTTCAGACTTCCTTTTCCCAGGGAAGTAACTGGATACCAACCACTTTTAGCATCTTTAAATCTCTTTATCGCATGCATCTTAGCATTCTCACTGGTATCTGTTCTCCTTCTTCCTGATATATAATCTAGTGCACTGAAAATAGGGAAATTCATGCTAGGCTGTGGGCCATGAAGAATTGTCAGTATTTGTCAGCAAATCAGAACTGAAGTATAGTTGTCCAGACACTTAAATCAGCCACCCAACCCTTAGAACTGTGACTTTAGCTCCCTAAGTTTCTGAAGTCCATTCAAATTTTGAGTTCCAAAATCCTGCCAGATGGGAGCATGACCTAATTCTCTGGAAATCCAGCTGCAGTTTTCTCCCTATCTGAAATAACCAACTCAGATTGGTGGGTCTATATTCTGTATCTCCAGGCAACCGCTGAATAAGTTGGTTTCTTTGAATTTCCTTATCCCTTCTTGTTATCTCTGTCAATGTTGTATTTTGTTGTACTTTGAGATAGAGTAAAATCCTTCTGAGATTTAGGATGCCTCAGAGAAGCTACACCACAGTTACACTTCTTGTTGCTTTCTCCCTTAAATTAATTCCTGATGATCAGAAAGATTAGTAAGCACCAGACATCCTGAGAGGCATAGGCTATTAAAAATTACTGTGCACAATATCTTCACTTCAGAAGTCTTTCTCAATTCAAGAGCTCTAAAGCATTTTCTTCACATGAATTCCAGAGCACATTATCATTAAACTCAGACATCTAAGGAAACCCACCAGCATAATAAAGATTGGCCACAAACTGTTAAAACATTGCTGTTGTACACCAATCTTCCCAGTATAAACCTAAATTCTCTTCAAGGCTGTCTGCAATGTCTGTATCAAACTGGAAACAAATAGACACTTGTCTTACATTCATGAAATCAGCAAGAGAATGACATTCTACTCTCTGCTTTATGCTAAAATGCAATAGAATCCTTAGAATGGGTATGCCAAACATTCAAAGATTTTTCCTGATACCATTATTGAAATCCTTTGAACAGATTTTTTCAGTCAGTCCAGTTTGTTACTTCAGTCACTACTATCATCAACAGATCTACAGTGTCCTGTGGTTTATGTTTCACAGGTGAACCTTTCTCACAATACATTTGTACAAACAGTAGATTACTTCAACTACTTTCTAGCAGTGCTAGCTACTCCTACGTTTATGTATGGATTTTATAGTAAATTTGTTTTATCTAAGTGGAATCCTGCTATATACCATAATTTTCTCAGAAATGTGTGTTTGAAGTACACCAGAAAATAGTTTCTAGATTACCAATCTAAAAGTAAAATCCAAAAAGTAAAAGAAATTGTACTGTGTAAATGTGTTCTTGGTAGGAAAGCACAGTATATGTCAGGTTGCATCGTGAGGTGCACTCTTGGCCAGAATTTGACAAATACAAAACACATAGACAGGATTGCATGGAGAAAATATCTGAGATTTGCAGTTACCATAAAGTGTATTGCTGTTCTTTATAAGCCATAGGAAGAAATGCAGTTATGTAATTTAACTGGAATACAGGAAAACTGGAACTTTCAGTCAGTAAACAAGAGAGTGACACTTTAAATTTGCCTTACAGTTTAGGAAATAGCTATAAAAGTGACAATTTTTTGAATGGCAACCATTTGATATACTATTCCCCCCAGGAAATCAAGCTACACAACATTTATTTTGTACCTGTTCTTTAGTCCAAGTCCATGCTTGTTTTAATAATTGATTATTAAATTATGTCTTTTCAGTGTTTTGCAATTACACTCACAGTGGTTATGTGTAATAAGCAAGGACTTTTTATTTCTTCTTGTAGCTAACATGATACAATGGCTACATGATACAACACATGCTAACAGGATACAATTGTTCAATATCTATGTTTAAGATTAAAAAAGACTGTCCAAAAGAAAAATATCACTTCTGAATTTAGCTACAGTTTATCTGTGGATTAAAAAACTCTGCATGTGAAACCTGCTTAAATTTTCATTACAAAATTCTCAGATTTATACAAGTCTCTTTCTTTTTGCATCTTGACCGGTATGAACTTACTGATGTAGATAAAGATGTTGTCAGGGTAGCTGGTATTGGGTTTCACATGGAATTTATCAGGAAAATCAAGATGCACTAAATCTACTGAGCCAACAAATCAGATTGTTAGACTGAAGCTGAGATGGCCTTAACACACTGTCAACTCTTTCATGACTCACTGATGAAAAGAGCAAAGCTGTCTGCTTACTGAATAACTCAGTAGTGTCTGGCACTGAAGGAGAAAATTCCAAAGCAGAAAGGAGCAGTGATCACCTCTCTTGATTATACAAACTTTCAGAAACAATAATTAAAATGTACAGTTGTAAATCTATGCTGTGTATTATACCTCCTATTATTAGAGTAATGAATAAAGACTGACAGCAGAAGCAACCATGCTGTTTCTGAACTATAAATCCTAAGTTCACTTGTTAGTCTTAGAAAGGCTAAAGTCATCAAGAGGACATACAGATGTTAAAAACTGCAAAAAGAGCTCTACATTGCTTGAATAAATGTGTCCTTTGCTAAGCTTTTTACACTCTGAGGCATGGGCATCCATTCAAAGAACACAACTCACAAAATACTCAATGAGCAGCATATAAAACAAGTTCTATGAATTTTAAGCTCTCCAGTGTTTATTGACAGACTGTTATTAGCTAATACAAAAATGCTTTTATTTCACAGAAATGAAAGCATTCAATTTGAGAATATGAATAATGGTAGCCAGTCACGTAGTAAAAATGCATATCAATAAGATTACACCTAGACAAATTCTTGATTTAAGTAAAAGTAAAAAATGTAGTGAAAGCCTGTATTGTCTTTTCAGTCACTGGCTAATTTCTCTTGATTTCCATGGGAGCAGGCTTGGATACAAAAGCATCTGCTGAAGACAAACAGTGTGTATGATCAAATACCTTTTGTACAAGGACAGTTCCAAATTTACATTTCTGAAGGTGGAGAGATTGTGTGCGCTTCCTTTATTCATACATATTGAATGGTATAGAAACGATTGTGAGTGCTGGTTCATCACTGAAATCTTCCTGACATATAGTAAGAGAAGGTTGAAATAGCTTTTTGTTTTGTTTTGTTTTGTTTTTATTTCAGAAAATATGTCTGAATGAATCAAAACTCTCAGGATTTTCTCTTCTCACTAGCCCTTAACAATGAGGGCACTGACTACAGTAACAGAGTTAAATGGCACTTTTTGTTCCTGAGAACAACTGAAGTGTCTCAGCCTGTACTTTGAATCTAATGGCTTAATTCTCACGAACACCAATGTAACTGATTCTGTGAATAAGGAAAGTAAGTTTTAGCCTTAATTCTTAAAAAAATCAACACTTGTCACAGTACTTTAACAGAATATTGTCATAGCAAGATTTCACTTTGTATTTACTTTTCATTTTCCCCTGTATTTCCGTTCCTGTCTTTCTTCTATGCAGAAATTTTATAAAATATTGTAAAACAAAAAACTGAATTTATCTGAGTTATCTGTTTTTATGAGTTATCTGTTATGTTTCACCATTTAGCCACCTCTGCTAGCACTTTGTAGGCAGTGCATCCCTTATTCATGAACTGTGTGTTAAAGGAATGTTAATTAATAACTCTTTCTGCACAGCCCAAGAATTCAATAGAACCTATAAATGTGGACTGTCAGACAAAAATTTTGATTTATTTTTATAATTTCATTTAGGACATATTTTAAGAATGGATTTCTATAGAAAACATTTTTAAATCTGATTTTATAAAAATATTTTACAGCAGGACTTGAAAATTATGTAACTGGAGGTAGAATCTCAGTGGAGAATTAATATATCAGTTTGTCTGTGGGGATAATTTAATAAAAATCCTGTTTGTTATGATTTAACAACAACAGAAATTAATTAAGTGTAAAAGGTATCACAGTTATTCATTCACTTCTAGTTTATTGAAATATTACAGTCTCATATGTTGCAAATTTACTTGTCTTTGGCAAACTGCACCTGAGATTTTGGAAGAGCAAATCTGGGAACATTCATGTTTTTACGCATTAGTTCTGTTGAATGAAATAGAAGTGTATGATATAGTAAGCAATGTCATGTTTCTCCATAAAAAAGCTGCCAAAATAAATCTGAGTACATGCAAGAAAATATTACAGTTCACAGTAAGCGTTTAGTTTCTTTATCAATTTGTCATCAGAAGTTAATGTCAGCTTAATTAGCTTCTTTTTAATCAGTTAAGGTTTGAGACCAGCCTCACATTTTGATTCTCCATCTCAAGAAAGGAAAGATAGATTCACTTTACACCAGGTAAAAGTGCTGTATTATTACCTTATATATACCCCAGTGGCCACATAAGCCTGTTAGTATGAGATTCCCCCAAATTAATTCTTTGACTCTGCAGCATCAGCAGACTGGTGCAGTGCTGCCCTGATACGGTTCTGTATAGCCCAGGGGAGGAGCATGTGTATGCTCTGAGCATTATCTGGCTTTTTGAGCCAGATCAGCAAGGAAGAAGGCAGAAGTTTTATTACTCCTCCCACCCACTGCTTGTGTAACACCTTTAAGCACTTTGGGCCAACTTTTCTCTTACTGTCTAAGGGTAGCAGTGAACAGCTCACACAGTTCTTGAGGGTCAAGCACTGCTCCTGCATATCTCTTTTGTGTAATTGGTGCCTGGAACCTGCTGCCACCAAAGGCTGGATAATTCCCTTTGTGGAAGTCAGCCTGATTTGTACCTGTTATGTCCAGTCCTCAGAGGGTAGCCTTATTAATGCAATGGTGTGGTCAGTTAGGGAACTGTTTTCTGCAGGAAACTGGTGCAGGATTTACTTTCTCTTTGAGAAATGACACTGTGCTGTGCAGTATGGTGGGGTGCCCTGTTCCAGGTTGTTCTGACCATTTCTTATTGAACTGGAGTTCATCCCTTGAACAGTAAAATCACAGGCTTGCCATCGAACATTGCAATACATCTTATCATTCCCAGGTTGCCTAGAGGATGTTATTAAAAAGAAACAAAACAAAAATAGTTTTGTGTTCAGACAGGTGAGTATTTTTATGTGTGCTAAATCATAAATATTACCCTTTGTTGGCAGAAGAGCACATCCACTACATGCATTATCACTACATTTGCATTCTGGCAACCCTCTTAACAACAAAATGCACTTCAAAGTGCTTTTCAAAAACTGACCTTCTCTCTTGAAACATCTCCTCAGGGCAACTATCTTTTGTATTATAAATGTAGTTTTTATTTCTAATTTCCATGGACTTTTCATCGTTCTTTTTGGGTTTTTTTTTTTCAAGTGAGGGATAATGGAGTGTTAGAGAGAAATACCGTTTTCCAGCTGAAGTAAAAAAAGTAACAACTCTTGGAATAATTTAAATAAGATTTCATACAGATAAGAAATACGAATTTTGTTTTGTAGATGCTGAAAAGGTCTATTCCCATTGTAAAGTTTTAAACTTAGAAAGTTCTAATGTCAACATACACAGTCAATACATGCAGTTTGTATGGCTTTCAAAAACAGTGATGTGCTGAGCAACGTGAATTCCAGTGCTCTGCTTTCCCAAAAACCTAAGCAAATTATTATAGACAGGCAGTTTTATGTAACAAAAAATCCCTAATATTTGTTACGAAAGCCAGCTACAGATAGATTAATATTTTAAAGTTCTTTTTAGTTTCTTTTTTTTATTATTCTTTTTTTGTGTCTAATCAATGTATCTTCTGTTGAAAGTGACCTTAGAAGTGTTTACACTCAATTTCTGAAAAATGGTGTATTTGTTTGTTGGCTTAAAATGCCAGGTTTTTTTACCTCTGCAATTTGTTGCTAAGTTGCCCTAAAAAGCAGACAGGTAATAAACTACTCCCCATACAAAACAAGGATTCTTCAGTAAACCCTATCAGAAGAATACTACAAAGCATTCTCATTTTTTTTATTCAATGTCACCTTTCCTTGTAAAAAAGAATATTTTTCATTAAGTGTCTATTTCCTACATAGAAGAACAGGAAAACATTTCAACAGACTCATTATTTAATTTTTCACTTGGTTTATGTAAATTCTGATCCTAGTTATAAAATACATTATGTACTTGTATCTAATTTAAGCCCTGTTTGAAGAGATAAAAAGCAGCCTGCAAGATTCCTACCTGATTCTGTCTCCTTGTTCACAGTGATTCCTCCATGATGTGATTGTTACAAACAGATCCTATTTATCTCTCATACTTGTTGTCTTGAAGGATACATTTCTTCAGGGAATAACTTGGCCTGCAGATGGTTCACAAATGGTATGTGATGATTATTTTCCACTGCTTTGTTTTCTGACTGGATAATTTTTTTTCAGTAAAGGAAGATCTGTTTGTGCAGACACTGGTTCATCTGCTTATCCTCACTACTTTAGTCCAGTCCAGATCATGAGGCACTGCATTGTAGCCCAAATAAGTGGGGAATATCATCCAGGATCATAAGCTAGCAACAATGGCACATTTAATGTGGATTAATGATGGTATATGAATTATGAACTGTATTATCTGCTACTATAAGAGCATCTGATCAAAATTAGCAGTTGTAACTACTCACTTAATAAAGAGCATTTACAAAAGTATTTATGGAACATGTACACCAAATAGGCACAAACAAAGCCAAAGACATACATTTTTAAAATAAATTAGGTAGTTAAAGAAAGTAAACATTTCTGAAGCATATTTATCCCAGACTTTTTTGCAAGATTAATATGGTATGTGTAATATACACATTTAATATTTATGTTTGTATCATGATCAAATTAAGTATGCTGTGAACCAATAGCAGAGAATCTAGGAAGGAAATTCAGACATTTGGTGCCAGAAAGAACACTGCATGATAGGCAGACTGAACATTGCAAGAAAGTGCACAAAAAACAGCCAAATATGTAGCAAATCAGACATACCACAGGATGTTTTGGAAACACAGCAACAGCAACAATGGAAACTTTTTAGACTTTGTTTAGCTAAAACAGAAAACAAAAGAAAGACTGATTGAATTAATTAATTTAAAAAAAAGATGTTGACCATTTGGAACATAGCAAATGTGAACCAAAATAATCGAACAGAATACAAATTAGAAGTGTTTCCAGTTAGTGTAACTATTTTTATACATTGTATGCTGAACAGACACAAAATTTTATAAATAATTATCTCTAATGGGAATACTCAAAGACAGCTTGGTGACCATTAAAGATGTGAGGCTACATCTTTGACTCAAATTTGCTTGACTGTAAGTATTTGATTTAGAAATCATCATGTGTGTACTGTCACAGTGTGTAAATACACCCCTTGCAGCATCGTGCTTTGAGTGACACAGAGTGATGAATTTCTCTAATTAATTTTACTGTGTCCAGATCTGTGCTTCACAGTTTTTACAAATAGGTCAGGACTTCATGAAAGTTGCAAAGCAGACAAAGCCATAATAATGTTTCCATTTAAGTTTTATCTTGTTTCTCTATTTTCATTTTAAATTTAATTTTTGGTCCAATTCAGGACAAGTCACCTTACCTTTTCGTATTGTTTTAGTAAATATTCTCACTGCTATCTGTTAAATAAGAAATAAGGTAATGCTGCCATGAAAAGAACATCTTTCCAATTTCAATCTGTTTTGTCAATCATTAATACAAATCTAAACATTACATAGTAACCCCAGGAGCTTTTGAATTCCCATTTCCCATTCCCTTATGCAAGCCTGTTTCAATGCTGTACTGCTCAGGGAAGAAGCAGTGATGAAAATCCTTCTTGGTTTTTCTTAGAATGTATTTTCTGCCTGCTTTTATTCCTAATCACTCCTGTGACAAATCCAGTGTCTGAGCATGCTTTTTGTATTTTTTTTTGTCATGAGTGAGTCTTTTTGCATTGTTCTCCTGCACTAACAGTGTGAAATATTTAAGGAGGAGCACTTTCTGCTCAGGTCTGAACAAAGACTGCTTTATAAGAGATCCTTTGTAGCCACTTGACTCCAAGCATTTCAAGGAAAGCTGCCAAATGTGATTTCTTAGGGCTGTACCTTAATGCAAGAAATACTGACAGGAGGAAGAAAGGGTTGGAGTTCACAAGAAACTTCCATGTACCAGGAAAGTCAGCTTTACCTTCTGAAGATTCTGTAGGAAGTGTTGCATGTTAGCAAGTTGTAGACAAAGACTTTTTTGGCAATATTTTATAACTACTTTTACCAAGGATACATGAAGGATACAAGATTTAACCAGTTACTAAGATTTCTATTATTTTTTGGGGGAAACAGAGATAAGTGGTTAAATTCCTCAGATCATATCCTTCCTCCAGTTATGCAGCTACTGAAAGGAGATTTTTTGAACCTTATTAAATATATTTCTAATATACATATTCATTATATGTAGTTCTTCTATACTAGTAGTAGTTCTGTGCATGCTCTTCTTCAAGAATTTATTCATTTTCTTGAAATATTTTTAGACTTTCTTTTATTAATGTGACAGTTAATCACCAGTCAAATAATCAGCATTTCTACCTGTATTCCTACCAGTCCAGGATTTCTTGTATATCCTATGAAAAAGGAAAAAAATAATTGATGAGGACAGTTCTCTGTGTGACATACATAATCAAAACTTCCTCTACTCAGTGAAAAATATAAGGAATTTACCTGATCTTTGTACCATTTTTATGGCATGTGGCAAGGACACCGATGCATTTTCTATTACAAACAAGTATCAACAATCCAGATAGTTCTCATACATTTTTTCCCTAGAAGTTAAGGATTTTTTTTATTAATAGAAATGCTCTTCTTATTGTAGCAGTAAGCAGACAAAAAAGGAGAAAATCAACCAATTTGCACAATATCTTTTTCACCCTGTAAACCAGATTTTGAATGCCAGTATCAAGCCTTCAAGGCATGAACTTTCAAAGCCACCACCCCACATTAACTCAGGAATGTTATAGTTATCTTAAAAATAAAATCCTTACATTTGCCAATAAAATAAGCTTAAATTTTGTCTGCTAGGTTTCCCTCCTTTCAGATTTCACTTTTGGGTTATGTACACATAAACATATGTCATATGCTTCTCTATTTTTCAAGTCCTACCTGGACTTTAAAAGTCTTACTGGAAAAGAAAACTGTGAATTCAAAGTGTTGAACTATAGGTTACTCTTGTTTGACTGGAATTGGTTTATGTATGGTTTCAGGTTCCATAAGCCCCTCTGTTAACCTTTGACTTACTTCAGTTCAAAGCATTGTCTACGCTGTAGATTCCTGAAAATGGAAATGCTTGACAGAGGTTTATTGTACAAACTCAGTATGGATTGTTTTCTCCTCAAGAAAACCTAGGTTATGTTATACCACAGTAATTGCAGAAGGATGACGATGTCACCTTGCCAGGCTTCTGGCAGCTTTCCAGTCTTCTAAGCTTGCTGTAGACCTCAGAAATACATTTAGCTCCCCACAGAATATAAATTTTAGTATTTGCACATGGATTTAGCTCACAACTGAATGTTTCCTGTTCAAAATTCTTTTTCCTCCAAATACAGGCAGAATACCTGTGAAGGTTCAGAGGAAATCTGCAGAGCTGTCTTCTGAGAGTAAGGGAGAGAGATGCTACATTTTTTTACTGATGTGTGCTGTAAATCACTGACTGTCACAGATAATCAGTTTTTCTCTGCTACCACCCCAGGCTTCCTATGTCTGCATATATGACTGGCTCCAAAGGCACAGGTTTCCACATCTCCCATCCCATCTTTTGTAAGGTTATCTTCCAGCCCTATTCACTGCAACTCACAGCATACAGCTTTTCAATGCACACAGTGATGAGCGCAAAGCTGGCAGGAAGATGAGCATTAATATGGGATGAATGCTCACTTCAGCCTTTCCAGTGCAGCATTGTGTCTGTATCCTGCTTGCCACTTCACATCCACTCATCTGCATCCTCATCTCTCACTGAGTCCATTGCTTATGCATCCAAGGGCACTCAGGCTTCACTGCATTAGGGTGTTTTTCTGTAAAAATGATGACACAGGAGATGTTGTCACAGAGCCAAGTCAGCTCTGGCAAAGCTTGATACCCAATCTAATTCATAGGTGACCTCCACTCACTAGAATCAAAAGGGCTACATGATCCCTAGAGAGCCCTTCCAGAGCCATATCTTTATGTCTTTATCCCACTGCACCCTCTTCCACATGTTTTACTTTCCTTATCAAAGCTGGAAATAGCAATTTACACAATGTCAGATTTCAAACCTTCCCAGTCCTCTAGTCAACCACTGAAGCCTTTTGTGAATTATGAAATGGAGCTAGTACTGGCACTCATAGCAACATAAAGAATATATTCATAGGTGCTTCTTCCAAGTTTTGACACTAAGAATTTTGAAATATATTTCCATGCCTATTTTACAAATGAGAGAATGAAGACAAATATAATAAACTGTGTTCTGCAGAAGAGACAAAATTGGAATAGATGCTCTCCTTCTGCATGCCAGCTTGCTCACTTTTAGGACAATTATATTCACTTTTTCATGACAGGGCTTCTGAAATACTCTTTGGTTAACCCGCAACTTTCTCCCTGTCTAATTTAGCAACTTCATAGACTAAAACTACAATACAAGTTAAGGGCATATTTCACAGGAATAAAAAAAAAAGTCAGTAGAATTTAAAGAGCACTTTAATACCTGAGTTTGAAAATAAATTTAAATATATACTGACATTCAACAAATGTATATTTAAATTTGCATTCAGACCCAAAGCTATTGTGATGATGTGATTCTGGATTCTGAAATATGTAGGGAGGAAAAATTACAGACTAATGGCAAACTAACTAGAAAATGAATAAAAAATAAAAAGCTCATATTAAATATCAAGAAGTCCTATATCACTGTGTATCAAGAAAAATACGCTGTTACACATCTTCAGCTTTGTCTGAGGTTCCTTTGTGTGAGTTGCTAAACCAGCAGGGATCTACAGATTTCGCAAACCCTTCAAAAGCTGCAGGGAATGCATTGTGCTCTGCTGAGGCTCGCTTTCTGTGTCTGCTGCCAGCTTGCAGCTCAGGCACTGAGGTCATGCTCTGACTGCACACTGGAGCCAGGTTTAGAGTCTATAGTGCAAGATCAAAAATCACACAGTGTAAAGGAAGCACTAACACCCTGTTGAGTGCTCTTAATTTTACCAAACAGTATTTGTATGACTACACCTGATCTCGATCAAGAATATATTATGGGTGATCTGGAAATGCATCTGACCCAGTGCTAATGACTGGGAGATTACAGCCTAAAGCAGACATTTGTTAAGCACTTTGATACTTACGTTTCCTAATGGATGTAGGATGCCAGAAAGGAAACTAAAAAACACAAACACCAGGAGAGACAGAAGAGGCACACTCTGAACCTCACAGGAGTGGAGGAATGCTCTACTTCATGTTACATCAAATGGGACAGAGGTGTTCTTCACCTCTGAATGAAAAGAGAGGATACAAAACTTTTCGACTTACAGAGGGTTGAAACACCTCAAATTTTGGAGGCTAAGTTTCTATATAGCAAATCACATTGGAAATCTGAAACAGAAGATACTAATTAATAGGGGATCCAGTTTCAAATTTTTATAAATTTACTGTGAAGAAGTGAAAGCGATTTTGACCCAAGCAACGCAAAAAGATTAAATACTGAAATAAGGAAGAAATAAAGCATGTGGAGATGAAAATCAGCATACATGGAACAGTTCTGTGTATTGCAATAAACAACACAATTCCTGGCCTTTATAAGAGAATGCAGACACTGTAAGTAATTACACCATGTTGTAAGAGTTTACTGGTGCCAGGAGAGAATGAAGAAACAGGAATTTTTGGACATCATTGCATCAGAAGATGAATTAGCCACCAGTCCAAAGCAAATGAAACTTTTATCCATTTTAAGTTGGACACAGGTGCACAAGCCTGTGCAGCCAGAAACCATAATATTATCACTGAAAAAAAAGCCAGCATTAGTAGAAGGTAACAGAGTCAAGGTTAAATAGGCATTTAGG